CTTTTTTACAACTCTTACAAGATAATGTATTTCAGAATAAAGAACATGGAAGATCTAATTCCTACTGAATATAGAATGCTGGATCTTCCTTAATACTGAACTTAAATTTGCCATGATAAATTTTTAAATCTACATTTTAAATCCTTACACTATATTCAATTGTTGACATTTGCAGTTCTCTATTTTGTAGAATAAGAACAGCATTAAATAAAAAATGAATAAAATGAAAAACATGTCTCTGGATTGTATACCAGCTTTAGAGTTTTCTAAGGACAATGTCACAAAATATGCCCCCAGTGTCACAAGAACTTTCAGGCCATCTGGGGACCAAGACACATCACAGATATCTGAAGGTAGGGGGAAGGCAGAAGGCAGCAATGGCAGGATGGGAGGAGAGCATGGCGAAGCATCTCTAAGTCCCCTGGGGGGCTGTGTCTACTTCTGCAAATGTTAATCAATTTTGTCACAATATTGTGCCATTCCTCCTCCTAGGCAGCCCTGTCAGAGCACTTAGAACACTAACAGTGAGAGAAATGCAATAACAGCCACCCTTCATCCCCAACCACTTCATGACAAGGTGACAGGGTCTCATTCACGAGGGTTCCTTACAGTTCTGATGAAGTGTTCCACAGTGTCCACTCCCAGGAGGATCTGAATGCTGTATGTTCTGATATGTTCAGTAATCTGCAGGGATTGGGCATTTTATAAAGTGGCAGATTCAAAGGCACGAAGCTATAGTTCTTTTTTTTTTAAAGAGAGAGAGGGAGAATTTTTTAATATTTATTTTTCATTTATCGGTGGACACAACATCTTTCTATTTGTATGTGGTGCTGAGGATCGAACCTAGAGCCCCGCGCATGCCAGGCAAGCACGCCACTGCTTGAGCCACATCCCCAGCCCAAAGCTATGGTTCTTAAGAGCTGGACTTGCCATTTTAGGGGTTAGATATATCAAGCCCCAAAATAAAAACTCACTGAGGGTAAGCACCTTTTAAACTTCTTTCTATCCCTAGACAAGACTTGTCTCAGGGTCCTAAGCATTATGGGTTCACTGCGTTTACAGTTGATTCTGTTTACTAAAGTATCATACAAGTTCTTAATTATTTCACCAACTCTTCACATTGTCCACAGAGCTGTGTCCATCTCATCCAACAGATCTTTTCTGACTGTTCCAATTCATGATAAGGTCTTCTTCCTCTGAACTATGCCATCCCTCTGACACTAAAGAGAACATGCTCACAACTTGCAAAGTGCCTCTCTCACAATGAATGAACATGCTACATTATTACATGGACTTGTATTAGTTTCTTTCCTTTATTCTCTGCTTTTAAATTGTGTTCTTTGAAAGCCTGCAAGAATAAAAATGATTTTATTAGAGAATCCTGCCAAATATTTTAAAAAGAATTAATACCAGTTCAACACAATCTTTTTGCAAAAAATATAAGGGAAATGTAACACTTCAGAATTTACTGATAAAGCCAGTGTTATCTGATACTCAATAAAGATGGTGGGGAAAAAAACCTACAGACTACCCCCCATGCATACAGATGCAAAAATTTTTAACAAAATATTAGCAAGTAGAATGCAGCAACATATAAAAAGAATTATATACTACATTCAAGTGGGATTTATTTCAGAGAGGCAAGGATGGTTCAATATTCAAAAATCTGTGAGTGTGATCTTACCATGTTAACAGACTGAAGAAGAAAAACTACACAATTTTATCAATAAATAAAAAGTTGACTTTTAAAAACTAGGAATACAAGAGTTTCCTCATCTTAATAAAAATAATCTACAAAATGTGTATAGTTACCATGGTACATTTTATGGCAAAAAAAATGAATACTTTCTTCCTAAAAGCAGACATAATGTGAGAATATCCACTCTTATCATTGAAATTCAACAGAGTGTTAGAAGTTTTAGACTATGGCAAGGCAAGAAAGGGAAATAAAGTTTATATGAACTGAAAAGGAAAAAATAAATCTGTTCTTATTTGCAGGTGACATGATGGTCTACACAGAAAACCCCAAGGAATCTACAAAAATAATCTTAGAACTAATAAGCAAGTTCAACAAGTCACAGAACACAAGATCAACATGCAAAAATCAATTGTGTTTCCATATACTGTAGCAAATTTCTGAAAACTAAAATTTAAAAATCTAAAATTATAATCGTTCAAAGAAGTGAGTTATTTAGGTATGAATCTACTAATACATAATTATGTACTGAAAGTTCATGAAAGAAATCAAAGATGAAAATAGATAGACCAACTTTCTGAATTGAAAGAAGACTCAACATAGTACAGAAATCCATTCTTCCAAGTTGGTACACAGATGAACATTACCCTTATTAATCTCTCAGAAATGTTTTTTTTTTAGAAACAGACAAAATTATTCTAAAATCCACATGGAAAGATAAAGAAACTGGAATAGTTCAGACCTGATTTTTTAAAAAACAATGAAGTGAGAGGAATCAGTTCACCTGATCTCAAGGCTTGCTCTATAATTAAAGTAATCAAGGATGTGTGATATTGGCAGAGGAATAAATACATAAATTAATAGAACAATATAGAGAACAAATAAATTGGTGCATATATTTATGGCTACTTGATTTTTGACAAAGGTGTGAAAGTAACTCAATGGACAGAATTTTCAAAAAATATGCCAAAATAATTTGATATCCATCAGCAAAAACATTGATCTAATCTCCCATGATATAAAGTTAGCTCAAAATAGATCCTAGGTTTACATGTAGAATTAAATTTATGAAAGATTTACAAAATTATACAGGAGAAAATTTGGGGGACTTAGTAAAGAGTTCTTTGACATGACTACACAATAAAAGAAAATATTTCCACACCATATGTCTGAATTTATATCTAGAATATCTAGGATTTTTAAAAATCTAAACTCAACATCAAAAAAAACAGTGATCAATTATAAAATGGGCAAAATACATGAAGAAACATTTAGATAAAGAGGATATACAGATGTAAAATAAGCATACAAAGACATGTTCAAGATGATTAGTCATTAAGGAAATGCAAATTAAGGTTATAATGATATATCACTATGTCCCCATTAGCACAACTAACAAAAAATAGAATGACAATACCAAATGCTGGTGAAGATACTGAAAAATTGAATCTTTTATATTACTATTGGGATTATAAAATGGCCACTCTGAAAATCAATTTTTCAGTTTCTTAAAAAAAATTAAACATGCAGGCTGGGGCTGTAGCTCAGTGGCAGAGCACTTGCTTAACATAAAAATAAACAAAATAAAGGCATTTTATCTATCTACAACTACAAAAAAATTTTTAAATAAAATAAATATGCAACTACCATAAGGCCTGGCAATTGTATTCCTAGTCATTTATCTCAGAGGATGAAAACTTATATACATGTTTGTTTATAGCATCTTTATTTGTAATAGCCACAATCTGGAAACAAATATCCTTTGTCCTTTAAATATTCTCCAATGAGTAAATGGTTAAACAAACCATGGTACCCCCATACCATGGAATACTATTCAGCAATATTTTTTAAAAAGTCCCATCTGATGGGTGCATTGGCATACACCAGTGGTTTCAACATTCAGAAGTCTGAAGTAGAAGGATCACTGAGCCCAGAAATTTGAGACCAGCCTGGGCAACTTAAGGCAAGACAAGATGAAAAGGTATACTAAATGTCTCCTGCCACTCTGAGAACTTTCCTGGTTTTCTGTTACCCCAAAGGGTATAAAGATGCTAATCTATAAAATTTATTTATTTTACTTAAAGAAGTCTGGTGGAAATCCAAGATAGATATGGCAGTCCATCAGTTATAAGAGATCAAGTTTCTTCCAGTTCTGCCCTTCACCATCCCTAGCATGGGTCTTTCATTCCAGTGGTCTAAGATGCTCACTAAAGCTCCAGTCATTGCACTCATGTTCCAAGCAGCTGGATGGGGAGAAGAACAAAGAAGGTTTGTCCTCTGTTCTTTATTTAGAAAAATTCCTGTTGGCTTACGTACCATGAGCCAGAACTGATCATGTAGCCATACCTGCAAGGAATACAGGCAAATGTAGTCTTCTGGTTGGGTGGCAATGTACCTAGCTAAAAATCAAGGCTCTGCTAGTGACAAAGACAGGTTGTGGAGTCTGAGGCTTATACAGTTTGGGGGTGTAGACTATAACTCAATCTTTTTGCTAGCAAATTCTACAAAAACATACAAATCAGTCCAAGGGTGCTGTTGGAGCCTAGAGAATAGAAAGAACTGACTGTGGGTTTTTTAAAGAAGTGGAGATATTTGAGATGCTGTAAACACATCATGGAGTTCCCTCCAATGGCTTTAAAAGACCATTTAAGTGAAGGGCCTTCAGACTTGGGCTTGTTCAGCTCATGGTGAATCAAATCTCTGGGAGGCAAATTACAACATTCAACACTGGTATTTTTAAGGCAATGACATTTTAAAAAGAAGAAATAGGATGTCCCCTCTACCTCTTCATTCCTAATTTATTAATCAAGAAATTCAAGTATGAGTTATTCACCAATAGCAAATCAGTTCTCTGAGGTTCAGTTTTACCATCTGAAAAACAGACATTAAAAATAACCACCTGCTTGGATTTGTGTGATGCACAAATGAAAAGATACACTTACAATTGCTTTCCATACCTTCCTATGGAAGGAACTATCATTTTCCATGACCAAAAGCTCATCCCTTAAAAATGCTGTCAGAAGGTGGGGAAGAGGGAATAAAGGGGCAACTTTGGAAATAACTGCAACATTGGCCAAGCAAATGAGAAAGGAAAGATTTCTGAGCACCTACTATGTGCCAGTTTTTGATATAAATGCCTTCACCCTTGACAGGCACTCATAAATATGTTTAATGAATCCCATTTAATCAGAAGAGCAGGTTTTTGAAGCTGGCAGTCATGAAAAATTGCCCAACTTTGTAGAGCTGTCAATGGAAATGGATCACTCTGAGCATACCAAGTGATGGCATATTTATCACCTCCGTTCTCCCAGAGTTTCTTGGACTTGGCATAACTCCTGCTGATTTCATATCTAGCTCATAGCAAAAAACGAGCCACCTTGGCTTCCACCAGGTTTACACTGGCTTGCACACAGTCCTCCATCACCCTCAGTAAAGCATTGCTGTGAAGGGACCAGCTACTGTCTGGTGTCTTGCAATGTCACTTTAATCAATAAATCAATCCAGGGCTTGGGTTGTAGCTCAGTGGTAGAGCGCTCGCCTAGTACATGCAAGGCCCTGGATTTGATCCTTAGCACCACATAAAAAATAAACAAATAAAATAAAGGTATTATGTCCAACTACAATCGAAAAACAAATATTGAAAAATAATAAGTCACAATAAAAATAAATAAATAAATAAATAAATAAATAAATAAATCCAGCCAGTACCTACTTTTTTTCCAGGTGCTCTTCTTCTACTACCTGGATGGAGACAAAGAGGGAGTCATTAAGCACTAGAATGAGTTCATGAGGGCAAAGTCCCATAGAGCTCTGTTCTGCAAACCATTACAATCTTTTGAGGATGTAGTGGTCTATATCCATGCCCAGCATTATGTGATAGTGCCAGAAGTAAATGACAGCTACACAAGGACAGCCTACTTGATCAACGAGAAATCAGACCAAGGGTGCTATTGAGCCTAGAGAATAGAAAGAGCTGAACTCTCTGTGAAATTTTTTTATGGAAGAGGAGGTATTTGAGACAAGTCTTCACAAGTAGTTTGAGAATTACATGGGAGGAGAAAAAGAAGGAAGGACAATGTGGAAAGACGCAGAGTAGATTACTATGGGTGATGAGAAGAAAGGAGGACTGTGAAATAAGTGGGCGTTAAGATTTTTAAAAAGAGATTAGCATCTAATAATGAAGGAATCTGAATGACAGAATGAAGTAGAATTTCTGTACGAGACTGAACTGAATCGTTTTGGTCTATTTTGTTTGTTAGCTTTTTTGAAAATTCATTTCAAATTTTCAATATCAAAATTTAATTGCTTAGTCTTTCCTTGTGCTCTTAGAACAAGGCCACTAGAGGAATATGAAATGTCACCAAGACGAAGATTTTTCATGACAAAATCCAACAAAGAATAAATAACTTCCTCAATTAGTTTTAATAGACGTTGATGGTTTAAAACTGACTTTCTTTATTTTGCTTTTTTTAGTGCATATTAATTATACAGAATAATTGTGGCATATTCATACATGCATATTATGTACTTTGATCATTTTAACCCCCCACTACCCCATTTCCCTGTCTCCTTCTCTGTTTCCCTTCTACTTTCATGTTATCTTTTTTTCTAGATTCTACTTATGAAAGAAAACATATGATATTTTCTGAGTCCAGCTTATTTCATTTAACATGATGATCTCCAATTCTACCCATTTTTATTCCTTTGTCAAATGACATTATTTCATTCTTCTTTATGGCTGAATAGTTCCCCATTGTGCACATATACCATATTTTGTTAATCCATTCATCTGTTGATGGGTACCTAGGCTTGGTTATTGTGAATTATGCTGCTAAAAACATGGGTAAGCATGTATCTTTAGAATATGCTCATTCCTTCAGGAATATACAAAAAGTTGTGATTTTCTTGATGACTTGAATCTTGGCATACGTCTGAACAGCAAAATCTGTTTGCCCTCAATACTTAACTTTTCTCAACATAATTCTCTTTGCATGTAAAAACGCCTTCTAAGAGAACTATTTGCAAAGGGGTTGGACTTTAGAACTGTGCTTTTCTGAGTTTCTTTGTAACATTTATCATTCTACTCCTCTGTGGCTATGAGGAATTCCAGCAATGTAGATCTCCATCTGCGTGATCTAACTCCTAAACTGGAATCTCTTGTACCATTTCTTGGTCAATCACCTCTCATCATTTATGTACCCAAAGACACCTCTTGGAAATTGTTTTTCTGTTTTTTTCTTAAGATAATTAAGCTTTATGCCAACTTTTAGGGATCAACTCAGTCTGATCCTGATTTCTCCCATAATTTGCTCTGGACTATGCCATAAGGAACATGTTCCCCATGAAGGCCCCTTTCACATTATCTGACCTTGTCTACTTTTATGAACTGCTACATCCTATTGTGGCATCCCTGCCTCCTGGTATATGTGCTTATAGATTGTCCCTTTCCACTCATAGAAGGGTATTTTGATCATTTCAGTTTTAGTTTTGCCTTATATGTGTCATGTTGAGAAATTTTTAACCTACCTCAGTATTCTCAATAAATATAACCTCATGCATTTTCTTTCATTAATTTTTTTCTTTAAAATATCAAAATCAAAATCATCTGAAATTCATTTCAGGTGTGGTATGAAGTGGGAATCTGATTTTTTTTTTCAGTTTTGTTTTTGGGCTTCTATTAACTTCATATCCAATTATTAAGACATAATTCTGTATTATTTAAATACCCAATACTTACAAAAATCTGTTCATCAAGTTCTTCATGATGAAAATATAAGCTAAGCAAGGTTTTAAAGTTTCTCCTGGATCTTCTATCTCAAGACTATGGTCTTCTGTATAGATAAGGACATTTAGTATGTTGGTCAGACATGGACACAACTACTAATTTAGGGGGTAATTATATAGAGAGCCCCATCTCTAAGCTTCATTCCACCACTGATGTTTGGCAGTGAATCTTTTCTTCTGTCTGCATATGTCCCCCACAGCTTCCCAGAGGCTCTCCTTCCATACCATACCCTGAGAAATAGATTTTCATTGAGGAAATGAATCCTGTGAAATAGCAACTGAGTTAATCAATAAATCAATTCAAGATAAAATATCACTTGTTGATAATGGCTTGACATGCCTCCTCTCAACCATACCTCCCTCTCACAGGTCACTCCTAAGATACCATTTATACCCCAATTCAAAGAGGAGAGCATGTTAAGAGGTTTGAGTAGTGAGGTCTTCTTGACCCTCAACTAAAATTATACAGCTGATGCCAGACTCACTTGTGCATAAAACAGAACTTTTACTTGATTCCAGAGAGAGGCTGAGTGTATAAGTCAAAGGTAGAAGATGGAGAATGGCTAAGTGTTCTGCATAGGCAGGAACAATAAGTCAGAGTGGGGAAAGGAACATGGTAAAAGGAGCAGGACCCAGAGAGGGGTTCTACTATGGGGAGAAGAACCCCCACACTCTGCAAGTTCAGGGAAGAAGAAGGAACCTGGAGAGCAGAAAGGTTGAACAAGAGTTGTCAATAGCTTGTTGTGCAGTGTGCAACTGACCCCTCCTCCTCTGTGCCTTCCATAAAGTCTTTGGTGAAATCTACATTTTCTTACTAATCCTTTGGTGCCAGCGAATCATGTCTAGGGAATGTGGAGGGGTTTAATGTCCTTTATAAAAAATATACAGTATATGAAAATAAATTATTACTATTCATGCACGTTGAATGATTCAATGTAATTGGATAAAGAAAGCAAAGAAATCCAAAATTTAGAGTATGTATTAATCTAGTCTGCTGAGAACATACTACCTGCGTAACCATGGGGAGGGGCTTATGTCTAGAAAAATTATCATATTCTGGTCAGAAGCTTGGACTTCAGCATAAGGCAGATCCAAATCGTGAACTAGGTCTTTTCACTCACCAGCTTTTTTGACTTTCATAGTCTCGTCTGTAAAATGGGGACCATAATAGATAAGTGAGGCAACAGGAGTGAAGTGTTTAGCACAGCGAGTCATTCAGTACTAGCAGTTACCCCCTCATGGTCATCAGTCGGCTCTTCAGTTTTTCCGTGGTCCCTGCTGCTAACTCTCGGGGTTCACAGCATCTCCAATTCCTTCTCATTATTATAGAAAACTATCTTCTGTGATTTACTACATGTAAAGTGCTAGGTGTGATACACTATTTGTATACTATGTATAGTACTCATAGCATCCCACCAGGTGGCTATTATTATTTATATTTTTCACACAAGGAATTTTAGTCTCCATACAATTAAATGAATCCATCTAAAGACAGACAGATTTGTCTGACTTCACTGCCAATGTTCCTTCCTATCAGTCTAGTCACAACATTTTAGTGTTAAATGGAACATACTCCCTTACATAATCAATGCGGATATGACATAAATTCTGTTCTCCAATTTATATGTCATATCCCCACTACAATCTCAGGCTATCTGTGCTTTCCAATGTGTTTGCTCTCTTGTCCTCTTCTTGGTCCTTCCTCCCTGCTTAATGGAGGACATGGCACAAGGTACAGGAGAGGACCAGAAGTCAGAAGAAAATGCTGGATGGAATGACAGGCAGATGTGGTGGCCCTAGTGATTTATACCATGTGATCGGTCAGTTATAAACATTTTATCTTCTTTGTCAAAACCTGGCCCAAGAATAGCCAATTCTGACCAAGAAACATGAAGAGAAGTTTGCTAAAGAGTCCTAGAAGATGTTTCCTCCCTTCCAAGGAGACTTGGGAAGAAGCGGCCATTCTTCTTCTTCCTCAGGATTTTATCCTATCTGGATATGGACCAGATCTTGCTTACAGACTGAGATTGAAACAAGTTCTAGATGGTCAAGGGAAGATGAAAATATGTGCATCCTCAAAGATATTCTTGAGTCAAAAACCAAACAACCCCAGAGCCCACCTGACAGACTTGCTGTAAAGAGAGATGATAAGTTTGTTGACTCAAAGTCCATTTGAATCCATTTCTTTTGGAGGCAGCTAAAGGCATTCCAATATGAAGATGTGGTTTTATGGATGGTGTTGTCCAGGTTTAGAAGAAGGCAAAGGACTTTGGTGGAAACATGAGGTCCTTAGAGAACACAAGAAAAGGAAGTTCCAGAAGGTTGCTATACAGTGAAATGAGTTACCAATGGAGATTTATTTTCTAGGATTTTAAAAATAGGACAGATTCTCATTCTTCTGACTTGTTTCAATTACTCCAGATGAAAGAGAGAGAAGGATTAGAATGGTTGACCTCTAAAAGGTCTAATTTTGAGAGGTCAAAAATATCTGCTTAAATAACACTGTGAAGCCTGAACTTTATCTTCTTAATCTTTCAGCAATAGATTCTCTTGAAATTGTGCTTTTTTTTTTTTTGAGATGCAAAGACAAAAGAAAACAAGACAGGAATAAGTGTATTCCTACCATTATGTAACCTAATGCTAGGGAAGTATTAAAGTTTTTGCTACATATTTAAACACTAGAGTCTGACTTAGGTAGTGCTCTTCATAAATTTCCACTACAGACTAATTTGGCTTCAAGATTATGTAATCTACTTCTTTTCCCTCCTCATATCTTATCCGTGATGGATTAGGGCTGGGTTATATAAGCAATTTTCTTTAAAAATTATATTAATAAAAATGTGGAGTCTTCACAGAGAACGTTTTCTTAGATTTCAAGGTACAATCTGTAGCTGGGGGAACTTTGACAAACACTAAATTAATTTAATTGAAATGATGGAGCTCTGAACTTCCAAAAA